ACTTGATTTTTAATTTTGCACCAACCAGGTAGTGGTCTACTATGACACTCAGCTCCTCTGCAGCTTATAACTTGTTGTATGTTTGATGCATTTCCGTTATTTATTAAAATGTGATCTGTTTTATTATAAGTTATCTTGTCACATGATTGCCAGGTTTGTTTATGTATATCTTTCCTTTGAAATCTGGAGCTGCTTATCTGTAGTTCTTTCGCTACAGCGAGGTTGATTAATCTCTATCCATTATCGTTTGAATTAGTATGTAGGCTTTCCATGCCTGCTACATTTTTATAGGTGTTTTCTCTTCCTATCTTTGCATTGAAATCTTCTAAGACAATCAATATGTATCGTTTTTGAGCTGCATCTATGAAATTCTCAAGGAGATCATAGAAACCTTCTTTAATATTATCTTCTTTATCTTCAGTGGGTGCATGCACATTAATCATCGTAAAATTTTTCCCATTTTTCTTTTCTTCGTAACTTACTGATCCTATCGTTAACAGCTTCACAATTTATAATACTATCTCAAAACTTTTTCTTAATAACAAATCCTGTCCCTAGTTCATGTTGTTTTGAGTGTTTTCTACATACACTATGATCATTCCATTTTCCTCTATGGTACCCTGTCCTGGCCATCTTATTTATTGAATTTTTGTTATATCCGTTCTGTATTTTGATAACTCACGGGTCAGTGTTTTAGCTGCTCCAGCTCTAAAGGGTCCGTACATTCAGTGTTTCCAATCTCAAAAGTCCTTTAACGTTTCAGATTCGTTGTCGGTTTAAATCCATCCGAAATCGAAGCTTAGATATCTGTTTGATGACGAGATTAAGTTTTACGAAGATGGGGGTGTAGGCCCTTCTCTTCAGCCCCTAACCCAGAGGACCAGGGTGTCTCTCTTTGTTCTCCACCTTCGACCTTTCCGCTTTGGGAGCCCAGCTGGTAGCTACGCTACTGCAGGCATAGTTCTCAGGAACGCTGAGAAACACAATCTTTCAACCACGATGTATATATAATAAATGGATGAAATACTTTATAAATGCTGAATTAAGAATCAACATCATGGCACTCGGGACACCCCCATGAGCGCTTGGTTCCCATCTTCAGCAGCAAACGAAGAGTTCCAATTCCGATGGCACCAGTAACTGTCTGATTGTATATCTTTTTCACCCTTCCCTTGAGTGTTGAGCGTCGGCCATATTCCCTGGTAACTCGTCACAGCGCCATTCTCCTCAGACCGTAATGATCTATTTGCGCTTCCGCACTATTTATTCGCTCCTAGAGGGCCCTTACAACGTCTAGCTTGTCATACATCATTTCACCACCAAGGGGTGCAGAACCGGCCAGTTTATCTGCCTGCTCATTTCTCAACACACCGGCATAACCTGGAGAGAATACCCAAAGGATACTAACTACCCGGGACCTCCGAGATGATGCCTGAAACTCTGCACGGAACATACCTGTCTCCACCTTTATATACTTATAAGGAGCGTGTGTATTCGCAACACACATTAATGTTCAGTTAGTGTTTAATTAGGAATTGACATTACAGCACTCGTGACATTCCCATAAGTGCTCCGTCCCCATCTTCAACAGCAAGCGCAGAGTTCCAGTTCCGAAGCCAACAGTCGTGTCCGACAGATATCTGCTTGATCCTGCCAGAAGTCATATGCTTGTCTCAAAGATTAAGCCATGCATGTCTTAAGTTCACACTGTTCCACGATGAAACCGCGAATGGTTCATTAAATCAGTCGAGGTTCCTTAGATGACACAATCCTACTTGGATAACTGTGGCAATTCTAGAGCGCCGGGGAGTACATCGCTCACAATGTACCCCGGAGAAGCCGGTGATACATGCGACACCACTGGACGCCTGCCGACAGGACTGACCGAAAAAGCTAAGCCAGCTTACTGAATGCTGGCCCGCAACTCGTCGAGAGAGAGAGCGGGCCTTTAGCGAGACCTTCGTGGGAACCACCGTTAACAGACACTTTCGTTCACTCACACCGCGACCGTGGCAACGAACAGTGGACACACACAGTATCTTGACCCTTTGCCCCCCACTACATCGGAATCCGCCTGGGAGGTGCCAGCTAACGGGATCGCCTTTCCACTGTGTTGAACATCGGCCAGATCCGGTATCCCCTCACAGAACCAGTTTCCTCAGCCGTGAAGAGAATGGCGTCTGTGCTTCCTTTACAACGTCTAGCTTGCCATGCATTGTGTGCCTTTTCAGCGAGCATTAACGGGTCGCCACAACATGCAGAAATGTATTAACGGGTCGCCACAACATGTAGAAATGTATTAACGGGTCGCCACAACATGAATAAATGTATTAACGGGTCGCCACAACATGAAGAAATGTATTAAAGGGTCGCCACAACATGAAGAAATGTATTAACGGGTCGCCACAACATAAAGAAATGTATTAACGGGTCGCCACAACATGAAGAAATGTATTAACGGGTCGCCACAACATGCAGAAATGTATTAACGGGTCGCCACAACATGAAGAAATGTATTAACGGGTCGCCACAACATGTAGAAATGTATTAACGGGTCGCCACAACATAAATAAATGTATTAACGGGTCGCCGCAACATGCAGAAATGTATTAAAGGGTTGCCACAACATGAAGAAATGTATTAACGGGTCGCCACAACATAAAGAAATGTATTAACGGGTCGCCACAACATGAAGAAATGTATTAACGGGTCGCCACAACATGCAGAAATGTATTAACGGGTCGCCACAACATGAAGAAATGTATTAAAGGGTCGCCACAACATGAAGAAATGTATTAACGGGTCGCCACAACATGCAGAAATGTATTAACGGGTCGCCACAACATGCAGAAATGTATTAACGGGTCGCCACAACATGCAGAAATGTATTAACGGGTCGCCACAACATGCAGAAATGTATTAACGGGTCGCCACAACATGCAGAAATGTATTAACGGGTCGCCACAACATGCAGAAATGTATTAACGGGCCGCCACAACATGCAGAAATGTATTAACGGGTCGCCACAACATGAAGAAAAGTATTAACGGGTCGCCACAAATGCAGAAATGTATTAACGGGTCGCCACAACATGCAGAAATGTATTAACGGGTCGCCACAACATGCAGAAATGTATTAACGCGTCGCCACAACATGCAGAAATGTATTAACGGGTCGCCACAACATGAAGAAATGTATTAACTGGTCGCCACAACATATAGAAATGTATTAACGGGTCGCCACAACATGAAGAAATGTATTAACGGGTCGCCACAACATAAAGAAATGTATTAACGGGTCGCCACAACATGAAGAAATGTATTAACGGGTCGCCACAACATGCAGAAATGTATTAACGGGTCGCCACAACATGAAGAAATGTATTAAAGGGTCGCCACAACATGAAGAAATGTATTAACGGGTCGCCACAACATGCAGAAATGTATTAACGGGTCGCCACAACATGCAGAAATGTATTAACGGGTCGCCACAACATGCAGAAATGTATTAACGGGTCGCCACAACATGCAGAAAAATGTATTAACGGGGTCGCCACAACATGCAGAAATGTATTAACGGGTCGCCACAACATGCAGAAATGTATTAACGGGCCGCCACAACATGCAGAAAATGTATTAACGGGTCGCCACAACATGAAGAAAAGTATTAACGGGTCGCCACAAATGCAGAAATGTATTAACGGGTCGCCACAACATGCAGAAATGTATTAACGGGTCGCCACAACATGCAGAAATGTATTAACGCGTCGCCACAACATGCAGAAATGTATTAACGGGTCGCCACAACATGAAGAAATGTATTAACGGGTCGCCACAACATATAGAAATGTATTAACGGGTCGCCACAACATATAGAAATGTATTAACGGGTCGCCACAACATGCAGAAATGTATTAACGGGTCGCCACAACATGCAGAAATGTATTAACGGGTCGCCACAACATGAAGAAATGTATTAAAGGGTCGCCACAACATGAAGAACTGTATTAACGGGTCGCCACAACATAAAGAAATGTATTAACGGGTCGCCACAACATGAAGAAATGTATTAACGGGTCGCCACAACATGCAGAAATGTATTAACGGGTCGCCACAACATGCAGAAATGTATTAACGGGTCGCCACAACATGAAGAAAAGTATTAACAGGTCGCCACAACATGAAGAAATGTATTAACGGGTCGCCACAACATGCAGAAATGTATTAACGGGTCGCCACAACATGCAGAAATGTATTAACGCGTCGCCACAACATGCAGAAATGTATTAACGGGTCGCCACAACATGAAGAAATGTATTAACGGGTCGCCACAACATGCAGAAATGTATTAACGGGTCGCCACAACATGAAGAAATGTATTAACGGGTCGCCACAACATGAAGAAATGTATTAAAGGGTCGCCACAACATGAAGAACTGTATTAACGGGTCGCCACAACATAAAGAAATGTATTAACGGGTATCCTGTGTTCTTCTTCTAATTCTCAACCAGCTGTACACTACGTACGGAAGGTCCTGTGTTCTTCTTCTACTTCTCAACCAGCTGTACACTACTACGGAAGGTCCTGGTTTTTCGCCCATGTGGACTTTGGCTGTGTGCCAGGGTCTGAGTTTTGCATGTACATTCGTTTTACTGGCTTCTTTGTGTGTAGTATTTTATTATTCCTTGCCGCTCGAGCAGATGCCTTCCGACTTTGAAGTAAGCACCCAATTAGTCTACTCTTACGACATGCTTGTCGGGGAAGCCAGTGGGTCTATTCTTGTTTTTTCCCCACAACGTAGCCCCTGAACCCACAATGGGAAGTTCATATATTGACTCAGTGGGCATTAAGTAGAAGACAAGCACTAGCAGCATGTGAATTCTTGATTGGTTTTTGAAGAATGAGAGAGAGCTGTTTGGATTGTTTTGAGAGCAGTAATACCCGCATTTTATTGTTCATTCATTCTATATGGACATTCAATCCTATGTATTTGTTAAGTCTTACTTGCTCATTTCAGGATAAAATTGCTGGTCCCATACAGAGTAAAGTGAGTTGGTAACGTACAGACGTTTACCATCTAGGCTCAGTTGGATCATCTGTGGACCTCCCTCAAGGCGCTTGCCTTTCACAAAAACTGGTTTGGGTTGACACTAGCAAAATAGAGAAGCCTTGTGACCAGTAAGCAACAGAATGGACACTAAGATAACATCATCATCATCATCATCATCAAGTGCTTTGCCGACTGGCATGGGCGATCATGTCTCTCTACAATCTGCTATCCGCAGCTGCATGTACCAGTTCGTGTGTTGACACCCATCAATGCCATGATAAAAGGCCGTCTAGAATCTTCTCGCTCTGATTTTCTCTCTCTTTCCACAGATCTTTTCAGTAGTCACGACATGTTCCATTTTCCCTCTTCTCATTAACGTGACCAAAAAATGATGTTTTCTGATTTTTGTTATACGTTGTGTCCGAACACTCGCCTTTTTCAAACATCTGGGTTGCTCTTCTTAGCTGTCCAGGGAATTCTAAGGATTCTTCTGTAAAACCACATCTCAAGAACCTAGAGATACTGTTTGGCTTGTTATTATTTTCTAGGATTCACAGCTGTATGTTAAAATTGGCTCTATGTAGCATGCGAGAATTCTTTTCCTAACCTCCAATGACATGGATTTATTGCCTAAAATGTACTTCATTTTATAAAATGCAATTTTGGCTTCTCCTATTCTGTTCTTCATCTCTGTGATACATCTTCCCTCGGATGTTATCCATGTGCCTAGATACTTAAATTTCTGTAGTCAGTAGCATGTCCCTTTGCAGAACTTTGCATCCATAACAACCCTTCGGTGAACTTCTCGGTCACAAGCAAGATGTCCCGCGCCGGATACACCTATCTGGAGATCATCCGCCAAATCCTGTACCCATCTTCTCTTTGCTTTCTTCTTCCTCTCTTCTCAGGCACATACCCCTCGATTATTATTCTCTCCAAACTTTCGTGACGTTTCAAGTGACCAGAATATTTCAATTTTCTGTTTTATCGTCTATAACAGCCAGCCTTCTTCAGTATTCAGTTCTTGAATTATGGATGCATTTGTTATTTTCTTTACCCATGATATTCTTAGAATTAGGATATTCTTAGAACTAGGATATTCTTAGAACTAGGATATTCTTAGAACTAGGATATTCTTAGAACTAGGATATTCTTAGAACTAGGATATTCTTAATCGAATTAGCGGATACGAGAAGAAGAACATAATCCGAAAATAATACACGAAAATTATGTTCTGGTATGGAGCGGTGTCGAACAACGAGCGAGAGCTAAACATGGAGTCGGTTTTATAATTTACCCCGATAGTGCAAAAAACATTGTCCACACTGAATTTATATCAGAAAGAATCATACTAATTCAGATCAAAGAAGGGTCTAGAACAACAACGATTGTGCAAACCTATGCTCCCTATAATGACGGTTACAGCGAGGAAGACAGTAAAGAATACTTTTAGAAACTTTCCGACATTTAAAACAACGTCAGTGAAAGTGATGATCTAATTGTGATGGGTGATTTCAATGGAAAAATAGGATTCGAGAAGATCGCCATACGAAGAATGTATGGGGCCATTCAGTGATGCAGATACGGACTGTAACAGTAACGGGGAACATCTTCTTAACTTGTGTTTACAACAAGGGCTTAGAGCAACGAACATTTTTTTTTTTCAGCATTGACGCAGTCATACCAAAACCTGGTATAAATAGGACAATTTAGATCAGGCTCCACAAATTGACTTCATTCTATTCAGGAAGACAAAGTGAAAACAATTAGTAGACTCACGAGTCCTACAAAAAACAAACATTGACACTGATCATAGACCAGTTATTAAAGATGAGATTCAACAAGAAATTAGGAGGCTATGCTCAACAACACTTCCAGGCGACCAACATCGATTCAGAGTGGACATGTATTAGGACGGCTATGCTCAACACACTTCAAACCAAATGCGGAGTCAGAATGGTGAGACAACGAAGTTAAAGACAGCGTATCCAGAAAGAAGGAGGCATCTAAAAATGGCTAAAATCAAAATCACATTAAGATAATGTCCATTACAGATTAGTGAGAAGAAAAGCAAATGCAAAATTAAAGCGTCTAAAGTAGGACTGTACCGAATAGTGATTTTCACTATTCAGCTGAATACGAATAGCGGGACCAACCAACTATTCGACCGAATACGATTACGAATAGTGTATCATCATTATCAGGTGCCTGGCTGACTAGCCTGGGTTATTATGCCTCGCCACAATCTGCGATTTCCTGCAGCATGTAAAAGTTTGTGTGCTGACACACTTCCAAGCCATGCAACAAGACTGTCAAGAATCTTATCTCGTTGTCTTCCTCTATCCACAGAATTTTCCAGTGGTCACCACATATTCCATTTTCCTTCTTGTCATAACATGGCTGAAAAAGGACGACTGTCTACTTCTGATGTCTGTGATTGGTTGTGTTCGGGCTCCAGCCTCTTTCAAAACTTAGTGGTTGCTTTTTTTAACTGTCCAAGTTATTTTAAGCATTGTTCTGTAAAACCACATCTCTGAGGCCTCAAAAAATTGTTTGGCTTGCCTACCGATTATCCATGACTCACAGCCATATGTTAAAACTGGATGTATGTAGCAAGCAAGAATTTTTTTTCTAACCTTCAAGGACAAAGATATATTGCATAAGATGTTCTTCAATTTAAAAAATGCAGTTTTTGCCTGTCCTATTCTGTTTCTTATTTCAGTAAAACATCTTCCATCTGATGTTATCCATGTGCCCAGATACTTTCATTTATGTACTTGCCCCAAAATAACACCACTGGCTTTAATTACACATTTAGGAATAATTCGTTTCTTTTATACCACCATTACTTCTGTCTTCCCACTTTTCAAACTGAGGCCCATTCTTCCACTTTCGAATAGTGTATAGTGTATAAAATAGATCTAAAAAAAAAAAGACATTCATATGTCAAATGTACGCTGAAATTTTACTTCACAAAATGTAGTACAGAATAGTAAACATTAAAAACATTTTATGTTTTGCATCCTTCAGTCAGTCAGTCTGTGGTAACTAATACCTAGGAATGAAAATATTATTAGTTTTTATAACAAGAAATCTAAACTTGTAAATTGTCACTGACAGCTTAGTTAATGCATGAAAGCGACTTAGGCAACAGCAACTATCGCAATGTATGCAGAAACGGGTGTAAGGTAACCACTCGTATTCGTTCCGACCGCAAGTATTCAGCCAATACCGAATAGTTATCAGGTCGACTATTCGGCCCCGAAGCGAATACGAAGCGAATATTCGGTACAGCCCTAGTCTAAAGACGAGTCTCGGAGAAATAATGGTCGACAGATGGCTACCCTCAGCAAGAACTCCCCTAGAGAATTCTATAAACATGTAAAAATCATGAGAGAAAGAGAAATAGGCTACAACCCAACAACTATCATCAACAACAAGAGAGGCATACCTCCACAACAGAGGTTGGCAAGCTGGGCAGAGTATTTTAAAGAACTTTTCAACCCCACAGGCAACGTAGATAATTTTAACTTTGTACCCTAAAGCTGCGAACGTGGGTGTTAAATGGCTTACTAGAATTTTTAATGTAGCTTGGGAAGAATAAAGTCCCACCTGAATGGCAACAGGCATTAATAGTACCGTTATAAAAAATAAAAAAAAAAAAGGTAATAGGAGAAAATGTGAAGCAAACAGAGGTATGAGTCACGTAGAAAAATGTACGCCAAATTACTAGAACAGAGTTAGACCCATAGCTGAACAACAGTTGAGTGCATCACAATTCGGTTTCAGAAAAGGCAGAGGATGAACAGATGCATTATTCACTCTGAGGCAAGTGTTTGAGAAAGCCATTGAGTATAATACCAAACAGAATATTGTGTTTGTGGATCAGGAAAAGGTTTTCGATAGAGTGGACAAAAACAAACTGTGGTCTGTTCTTGAGAACTACGGGGTACAAGGACAGTTACTAGAGAACATCATAGCCCTGTACCACACAAGCCAAAATGCAATAACAACACAAGAAGGCATATCAGATGTGTTTACAGTCAACACAGGTGTGAGACAGGGATGTATACTCTCCCCAATTTTTTTTAACATTTATATAGACAGAATATCTAAAGAAGCAAGTTCTGATACAGACAAAGTAGATCTTAATAATCATGAGAAGTACACACATCAGGAGAAGTAATCGATCCACCCACATTAAACGAACTACTATTTTCTGACGACCAGTGCTTGTTCTACCCTGAAGAAGATAGACTGCAAGACCACATTAACAGGTAAACTCCGCATGCAGTAAACACAACATAAAGATAAATGCAAACAGAACCGAAACAATGCAAGTTAGTAGAACCCCTGCCCCACTACACATACATTTGAATGGTTCTGCTCTGAATCAAGTTAGGGAGTTTAAATATCTAGGAGGTATGATCACAGAAGATGGTAGAATTGACAGAGAAATAGAAACCATATGTCAGAAAGCAAGTGCACTCAATTGTCACCATTATTAAGACATCCAAGCATAACTATGAGTGCAAAGAGACAGATTATTAACAGCATATCCATTCCAACATTAAGCTACCAGTGCCAAACATGGACGCTATCTAAAGCCTATGTACGCAAAATTCACCATCTGCGAGATGAAGTGCCTGAGAAAAGCAGCCAACCTAACCTAATACGAGATCGAGTGAATAATGAAACTATCAGGCAAATTGTGGAAACGACTCTTTGTACTAGATTTATCGAGAAACAGCAGATCAAGTGGTTTGGCCATCTCGTTAGAATGCATCAAGATCAAATACCATCACAAGCACTACATCTCAGAAGTGGTTGATGGTGATTCTTATAACCAGTCTGTAACATTTGTATTCAAATGCATTTATGCGATGTTTAGATTGTTTAGTAAGTATCCAGGTCTCGCCGGCGTTTATTGCAATGGAAAAGATGCATGCTCTTAGGAAGGTAATTTTTGCAGTTGTCTGTCCCGCTTCATAATTTATTCAGTTGTCTTAGTCTTTGAAGAGCATCTATCTATCTTCTTTTACCCCACCAGGACATCACACAAGCGATAAACACCCGATGAAACAAAGGGCTACCATTTGGATGAGGATCACAGTGGAGAGGTCCCAAAAACCGCGTTCAGCCATAAGACCATATTTATGGTCGGGCTATATTGCGGCCCCTGACAAGAGCCAGGGTAGGGCTTCAAATAACGAAAAAAAAAATTGCATCTCACAAGGGGATGACTGTGTTTCTGTTAGTTATTGAAGAACAATTGATAGTTGTCGTTTAATTGCTTTCACTGTGTCACAATTGTTGGTAATCAATGACCCAAAATATTCAAAAATTTCCACAACCTCCAATCTTTCCTCATTAACACATATTTCTTTCTCCGTGGTAATTTTAGTTTTTGGTAAATTTGTGTAATTGTCCCAAAATAACGATTTTCACTTTTATTGCACATTTAGGCAGTATTGTTTTCTTGGAAATCACCATTACTTCTGTTTTCCCATTATTCAAACTGAGGCCCATGTCATCACTTTCTACCATCATCGGATCTAACAATTCGTTTAGTTCTTTTTAACTTGTCGCTATCAAGACGGTGTCATCAGCATAACGCAGGTTGTTTATGTTATGACAACCAACGACAATTCCTGGCGTATCCGTGATAGATCTAATTATATATTCACCACATAATGAAAACAAATCAGGTTATAGTACACATCCTTGTCTTATTTTCTTCTTTATGCTATGACATGTTTATAAATTGTTATTATTCTTAAAGCTGCTGTTTGCAGCCAATACATGTTCTTTATGATTCATCAATATTTTCCATCAATTTTTAGCTTTTCTAACAGTTTGATTATTTCCTTATAAGTAAAAATCTGTTTCCATTTTTTTTTCTTCTATGGCTCTTTCTGAAAGAGTCCTGGGGATTAAATGACATTGTTTATGCCCCTTCCTTTTACAAATCCACGCTGTTCTTCACTAACTTCTGTTTTAATCTTGTTTCTTATTCTTCTCATAATTATTCTCAGTAACATTTTTGTCACATAGCTCATTTTAATAGGTCATAAGGAATGTTCCCGCCATTATACATGTCATTTAATGTTTTTTATTATTATTTCAGTTCTACAATATCGAAAGCCTCAATTTCTTCTAATGTGATGTTGTCTGGTCCAAGTGCTTTTCCTTTCTTCGTGTGTTGCAATGCACAACCGACAAGGGTGTTGTTTAAACCAGGTGTTACCAATTATCATGATATGTGACTCCGACCAAGCTATTAATCTTTCACCTCTCTCATTCTTTTCTCTAGTTTATAGCCAGTTACTCCCCACACTTTTTCACTTTCACCTTTAGCATTGAAAACGCCTCAGATATTAAAAACTTCAGAATTCTTCTTCTTCTTCTTCTTTTTTTTTCTCTTCCACCTTGTACCTCATCGAAGTGTCAGCGGGAGATGTAACATTCGTTGATGAGCTCTGTCAAGAACACTATTAAGACTGATGTTCATTTCTGTAACGCTGTTCCTAATGCCATCACTCCATATTTTCCGAGGTCTTTCACTCGCTCTATCAAAAGCCGTGTCTAAATCATTATAAAATTAAACAATGTGATCTTCTAAGCTTTCTGCAGTAAGTTCATATACCTGTACTAGTTTTATGTCAAGTGGTTTGCTATTGATTTTTACCAATAGCACCCTGTCTGAAATATTCCAATATCCTTTAACAGTTGCACATTGTGGATCCAGAATGATACCAACACCATAATACTTAAACACCTGTTAACATAACCAGTCAACTTGTATATAAATAACTGATCGATTTTTGCTCATTTTAATTATATAAAAATATTAATAGAGTACACTTTTCACACTGACTAGCTCCCATGTAACTGAAGTTTGACATTTTTAACTGAAACTGACCTTGACTGAAAAACATACAAATATACAATGTGTTTGCTAGTCCATGAATATTTTTATTCCGCAAGGGTTTTCTCGAACTTAGTTAAAAAGATTAGGGGGTTTCCCGCAATGCCGTTGACATCGCGTGTTGTGTATTGCAGCACTCCAAAAACATCGACAAACTGGGTCTAGCACAAAACCCTTTTAAAAAGTGATGAAACCTATGTCACAGGCATTATCTTCCTCGAAATAAAAACCTAAATGCAAGACAACCCAGAAAGCAAACAGAGCGGCACACCCGTAACCCGCGTGAAGGTAGACTAGCCCAACAAACTTATGAATGGAAAGGGACCTACTTTGTTTGGGCTGACTAACATTTGTTTAACCAAATTGTTTGTATTGCAGGGGTATCATCTTTTCTCGATCTGTAGGGGTTAAAATAACGAGGGGCGGGAGGTGCGGTGAAGAAAAACAGGGGAGAACTATGCAAGTGCTGTGGGAACGCAATCTTTAGAAAACATTTGCCTGTCGGCTCAAATTCACACATACGAATTTCCATCCAAGCTAGTTATAAGCAAAATTGACATAGGCTCTCTCGTTGACCAGTCTCAAATTAATGCCAGGGAAATGCTATGCGAAATAAATGCGGCTTTTGTAATATTAGTCACATTATCCATCAAGCACCTACTGGCCGATAAATTATTCGTTACTAATAACAAAATCCCTCAGTGCGTGGAAATGGTTTTAAAAATAGATGTTAAGGACTTAACTAGACATCGATTATCATCTGTAGAGATCCAGCAACATGCAGTTGCCTGTGAAAACTCGTGTCTAAACAGGCTTGTGTGATAAGTTATAAACAAAACTGACATAGGCTCCCTCGTTGACCAGCCTGAAATGAATGCTAGGAAATGTTCTGGGAAGTAAATGCGGCTTTTGTAATATTAGTCACATTATCCATCGAACACCTATTGGCCGATACATTATACGTTACTCTCCACACCCCCCCCCCACCATCATATTGGCTTCACTTAAGCATCTGCAGGGGTTTATGCTAGTGCATGCTCAACATACACAATACAGCCTGTGGCGTACAAAGACTTGAATTATCAGAGAACACCAGCACTGACCTTGAGTTCTTCATCGTGTATAACTTTGACAGAGCCATCCAATGGAACACTTCCACCAAGGAATACCTGTAACAGATTGTAGGTGCCCATATGTATTAATTTTGTTTCCATTACTAAATAACTGTCTTGTAAGTTGTGTGTATATGTGTTGTCACATTGTCTCTGTTCATTCGCTAGTTTTGTGATGTAAATTAGATAAGTGATGAAGAGTCTTGCACACGGAAACGTCTCAAGTGTAATTTTTCTATATATCTGCTCAAAACTGGAGCACCGACGGGGCAATAATAATCATATTTATAAACATAAATAATATTATAGTAGTGTTTCCTTTTTATTTGCCCGCCGTCTTTCATCTCCACATAGGAAATAATGCCTTCTCTAACATGCACCAAGCCTTTTGTAGACTTGTGTTTATAGTTTGTTGAATTGTTCTGGTACTGTTTTCTGAGTTCCTTGAGTTGCCTTATTACATACAATTGTGTGCGGTCTCTACCATGGCGGTCCTGGTGCAGTACATCTACTGCTGTCTGTAAGGTTATTACTTGGTGAGACCAACATCTCCTCCGCCGTGCCACGCCAGAACCACTGTCCTAAAACCTTAAATTATTCTTTGGCATCCGCGGCGGATATCGGACTTCGGTACGCCCAAGAGTGGCAACGCGTTCCCTATACTCTCAGCTCTAAGCTACAAAGCTTCCTTCATGGGCCTGGGAACACTAGAAATCTTGTTTATTTCTAGTCTCTTAAGTTCATTTCTTTTCTTTCTTTCCAGAACCTAAAGCCAATCTTTTTGCAATATTTATCTTTGACGATATTTGTAAAGCTGATGATATTCAATTCCCTAAGGTATAATTTTTCATCGCCTGTCCAGTAAATTCATGCACACCGTGAAGATAACTAAAATCTTTACTTATAACTGACGCACGCCCTACGTTGCTTGCATCAAAGGTTGCGTTGTCTACAAGTCGGCACCGATTGGTGTAAAATGGTTGGGCTATGTTAATCTACCACTATTTGTACTGCATTATGCTACACTAGGAATGCATCTGCTAACTGAGAGACATTCAGTCAAGTAACGATTCAGACACAACATGGATATTCCTTTCCTAGATTGTTTTAAAAAAAAATGCATACACATACAAATACTGATTCTGCTTACTGAGGTAACAACAGCAATAGCTACTAAAATTAACTCTGAGAGAACCATCAGTAAAGTGGGAAATGTTACCGATGTACGATTCATTTGTAAAAATTATTTTCCTCCTGATGATTAAAAGTGGGCTAATATTTATATGCTTTCAGTGTCTGTCATACAGTCGATATTTTGGTCTATACATTTGACAAGTACAAGCGTGCATAACTTGATATGGTACAGTACTGTCACAGGTGAATGCCGCGGTCCGTGGAAGACCGTACGTAGCTTTTATGTTAAGCCTGGATTGGATTTGGCTTCTTTTTCTTCTTAATGTTCACCAGCTCTTAAGTTCGGTTTTTCATCCACTTCAGAACTTGTGTTTGGCATGCACATCCGTTTTACACATCGGCCTGATTTGTATGCAAACTGTTGGTTCCTTGCCTGTCAGGCAGATACACTTCTATTTCGGAGGAGACACCCCTAATTATTCGTCTCCTACGACATGCTTTTTAGGGGGCAGTATGCCTATTCCTCCCCCCCCCCTCCTTCCCAAATGGGGCATCGGAACGCAGACGTGGAGGATCTGATGTCTATTAATGAATACAATAAAATTAAACAAAGAAAATCTGTAAAGAGTATTGATGAAAATAATGAGCAGTTTAGAAGTTTATTATATTTCACAAATTAAAACGTGCAGTATTTGTAAAAATTCAAAGTAACTTTTTAAATTTAACTTCATATTAGAATAACTGAACATTATAATTTACAGATGAATAGATGAACCAGTGTCCTCATATCCGAACCACCGTCTACCTTCTTCTTCGATCCTTCTGTCAGAAAACTTATATCAGGAGGCCGGTAGCCTTTATGAAAGCTATCGTGCAATCCATATCCTCTTGTGTACCATACAGTTTTGTCTTCATTGTGGTTGGAACAGGCCAGATTGCGTCTCTGTTGTCAGCATACAGTTGACAGTGTTGGAGCACATGCTCAGCATTTTCGGGTGCTACGCTGCAGGGACACGTCTCCGTATTTCCCTACACCGAAAAATTTGAACATATGTTACGAAATCTGTTGTGCCCTGTCCTTAGTCTGAATATAATAGACTGTCCCTCTCTAGAGAGGCGATGAAGTGAGTCTTGGGGAGAAAATCTGGTGTGGGTATCCAGCCACCTTTCTTGGATACTAGATTGTATTAGTGTTTTCATCTCTTGGTGGGTTAAGTCGCTATTTGGTTGTACCATGTCACTGCCGCTTCTGGCCAATCTGTCCGCTATTTCATTGCCTTCCAAGCCACAGTGACCTGGAATCCACTGCAGTACAGATTGTTCTACTGAAGAGCCTAAGTAAATCAGCTGTTGCGTCAAGTCTACAAACTGAGTGTCTTTTGGGTTAACAATTGCTTGTAGAACTGACATAGCATCAGTCAGAAAGACCACTCTGCTATATTTGCTGTGCTGTTGTCCATTCAGGAAAGAAAATGCTGCTAGAAGTGCTTCTGCCTCTGCTCTGTAATTGGAGGGGGAATATGAACCTGTTGGTACAGCCTGGGTTGATTTTTAAACCATTTGGGCATTCTATGTATATTCCTCCTCCTCCGTCTCTTACTGCTCTCTTGCTGAACCATCTGTATACCTCGAATCCAACTCTGGTGTGGGTAAAGACTATTGATCTCTCCTTCTGTAGTTGATTTTCATATCAGTGCTGCTCATTGATGATTTGGAGGAGACCCCTGTTACAGTGGTTCTGACTGTTGGTAGGCTATCCCTAAGCCAAGCGGGCAGTCGTTGTAAGGTTAAGTGGAACATTTGGTATTATGGGAGGGAGTTTAAGGACAGCGAGCTTGGCATTTGCGTTCTTAATAAAGCAAGTTCTCTTTAGTCTAGCCTTCTGGGGTTTCTGTAGTCGGCTGTACATGGGTTGTTCTTGAAAGTGGTGGTATTTGGAGAGCTGGGTGAGGATCTTTGTGCCTCTCCTATCTTCCAGATTATGGAGACCAGTAATTGTTTCCATATCTGATATGGGCGTGGAGCGCATTGCCCCTGTCTACCAATGTCTTTGTCTATTCTGCGACGAGAGAAAATCAAAGAGAAAGAGGCACGCTAAATTACCTGTCCAACAAGTCTGGGTTGACTCCTGTCTGTGATATTGTACTGCCGGATGTCTCCATGTATCCAGTTGCTGAAGTAAAGGAACTTGTCATCCAGCGACACAACAATGTCAGTAATCAGACCTGAAACATACACATTAGGGCTTACTAACGTCATTAATTAGTCCTTCAAAAGACTTTACAGTGGAACGCCAAAATACTAATAACTCCAGGAGAAAACATACAGAAACACCACAATTTCAGTAAAGAGTTATGGGGCAGCCTATAGTGGCACAGTAATTTTGTAATTATATTTGAAGAACATAGAGTCCAGTGACCTCCAACTATATAATTAGTTTCGTTGCTACTTTAAAAATTCAGTGAATATGTGTTTTCCGATGGTCTTATGCGACCCATGTGAAAGGATCGTTCGACCCACAAAAGGGTCTCGACCCACAAGTTGAGAACCGCTGATAAAGTCTGTTACAGTAAGTCAGTAATGATGTCCGGAGAACACCTAATTTTACACCATACTGCAGTTATAAGGCCAGAAAAAGGTTCACAGTTATACAGTAACATCAGTAATGCGCTCTACAGGAGACCAGCAGGGGAACAATAGTCTCGGCAATGAGCCCTGCTGAAAGTCTACAGTGACGGGCTGCTTTCAGTTGTTTTAATGCCTTGAAGTATGTTACAACAATGATGTAATACTATTAGTTATAACATTTTGTTACTTGATATGACACATGTTTTCAGGAAAAAAAAAAAAAAAAACAGTAATACTTTTCTGCGAGGGGTTGTGAACCCTCATCACAGAAAATATAGAAACAGAGGCGACAACCCTGCTGGGTTTTACCGCAGCCAGCAGTTTAGTGCCACGATTTAACTGTATCGAGGCTTAAGATATGCAAGCGATCGCTAGTTGACACCACGTCCGACGTGAGCTATTTCTAAGAATAATGAAAGCGTGGAGCGTCCACTGTGATTACTTAATACTAAATCATGTTTATAATGACAGTGACCTGTAAAGGTTAATTCGGATTATATTATTTGTATGTAGACGCCCACGCTTTCATTTGTCGTAGTATAAAATTGTAGATAACTGTTGGTAAAGATAATTAGCTAACCTCGATTATCCAATAAATTATATAATGATATCATCATCATCACGTCATGTAGCAGGTCCTTTGCAGAACGTCGCTCTCAGCAGTTTGCCTGAAAGAAACTCGGTCTCTCGCCAGTTCTCCTGCCTCATGTACTTTCATACTTAAGGAGTCACTTTTATCCTATGCCCTTTTTCGTGTCGGTCGGCCTCTGCTTCTCCTTCCTGGTACCATGCCTTCTGCTATAATTTTTTCCAATCCGTCGTGGCGCTTGATATGACCAAAATATTTCAACTTCCGAGAAAGGATGTTGTTTATTAGCCAATCTTCCTTGATGTTCTGATTTTTCAAGATGTCAGTATTTCTCCTCTTCTTTGTCCAAGGTATTCTGAGAATCTTTCTATAACATTCAAGCTCAAAAGCCCCTATTCTCTTTCTGAAGGACTGAGAGATAGTCCACGACTCACATCCGTTTGTAGCCAAAGGGAAGATGCATGCTCTCAAAATTCTAATTTTGATCTCCTTGCTGGGGCTCAACCATAGACTGTTATTTGATGATATACATACAATATAAATAAGATAAAACACGCCATTGTTATATTATGCTCAACATATCATATGCAAGGTCCGACAGTTCAGTAATCAGACTGATTTTATTATGGCCAAGACAAAAATGCCACCTACGAAGCAAAGCATTCATTTATGATCAGGCAACTTTTTATCGCCGCCCGATAAGCAGACGACAAACAAGCCGCTATTTTGCTGACGTAGTCAGAAGTGCATTGTTGCGTAATCAGCATGCAGCAAAAGGCGAACATTAAATTATGTTTAGAATTTAGTAAAAGCGCCATTAAGATGGTTGAATTGATGCGACAAGTTTATGGGGGTAATTGTTTATCTCGTGCACAGATTTTCAGGTGTATTCACGATTCAAAAGTGGTGTGGAAATGATTACTAATGCAACTAGACCTGGATCCCCGATTTCTGTTCGTAATGAGAACTCACTGCAAAAGTCAGAGAACGGATACAAGAAGACAATTGTTTGACTGTGAGGATTATAGCAAACGAATTTGGTGTTAATAGAGAAACCATTCACAAAATGTTAGTGGAAGATTTGGACAAGAAAAACGTTGCTTGCCGGTTTGTACCACATTCGTTGTCAGATGATTCAAAACATCTGAGTGTTGAGTACGCAAAAAGCATCATTAAAAACGTGTCACAGAAATAAACATCTCTTGAATATGATTGTTGCAGAGGATGAAACATAAATTTTGCGATTTTTCGCTATGATCCCACAACTAAATGCCAAAGTGCTCATCATCGGAAGTCATCATCCATCACCGTCAAAATCCGTCTTCAAAAGTCGGAACTGAAGACAATGTTGGTGTGCTTCTACGACAGCAAAGGAATTATTCAAAAAGAATTCATTCCACAGGGACAGACTGTCACAGCCACAGTTTATTTAAGTATTTTGAAATGTTTATTGAAAATGATTCTCTGAGTCCCACCCGAGTATTCAACACAAGGAAGTTTTTCCTTCTTGATGACAATGCATCGGCTCACCGGGTGATAGTTGTACAGGATTTGTTCGCCAACACAAGTGTGTGCTCTCAACCATCCACCCTTTTCCTCAGATTTGTCTCCCTAAAGTTAAAGTTACAGTTGAAAGAACGCTGCTTTGACGATACTGAACGGATGACATCCAGAGTGCCGTAACATCAACTTTAAGGGCCTATAACACAGTAGAACAACAGAGGTCCTTCCAGTGTTTCGTGCCACTAGCTGGGTCAATGCACAGGGGCTTACTTGGAATAACATACCGGTTATTTCTTCAACTGTTGATATTTCTTCAACTGTTGATTAACAAACAAACAAACAAAAAAATCAAAAAAAAAAAAAAAAATGAAAATATGGGGGGGGGGGGGGGGGGAATTAGTCTCGTTACTTTATTGTTGTATAAATTATTTTATATCTATTTAGTGCACTTGTAAATTGTATACATGCTAAGTAATAGAAAGCTTATAGTATAAACAGTTTTTTAAAAGTTTTTTTTTTTAAATCCACTTTTTAGTCTTAATTACATATTACAAATCAAAGCAGTCAACTAAAAAAAAAAAAAAAAAACTTATGTCAACATCATCATTATGTGTGTGCAGTTAGACGTCGCATAGGGCTCGCCTCCGACTCCTCCACTCCGCTCTAGTACAAGCAACTCTCAATTTCTGAACATCCAATAGTATCAGTTATTTTATATCTGTTTAGTGCGCTTGTAAATTGAATACAAAGTCAGTAATAATAAAAGCTAATAGTATAGACAGGTGGTATTATTATTATTATTATTTTTCACTTTTTAGTCTGAATTAGTCATATCTCAGAGTAGCTGTGGACAAAAGGCACCTCCTGCATGAAGCACTGGATAAAGCTAAGGGTTACAGACTGAAAAGAGAAAAGTCTTGGATGGCGCAAGCTGAAGACACAATTGGACATGTGTGCAGACTTGATAAATTTAGGCGAGAAGAGGAATGGGTCAAAGTGTCCGATCATGTTTCAGACTTGTGTAGGGTTCTAATACTTTGGGACGTGAGTGCAGGGACTGGCCAGCTGGTGCTGCAGAATCAGAAGTTCAACAAATGATTCATGACAATTCCCGCCCAAGTGATGCAATTGTATATACAGACGGCTCTGTTGTGAGGGACAGACGAAGTACATGGGGGTTCATAGCGAAGGCGAATGGACGTCGCTTGGCGCAACAAAGCCTGGCATATGATATCACAACGTCCAGTTTGAGAATGGAGTGGCGGTAGTCACTTCTGCCTTTCGTTGGCTTGAGAATCAGCTGTACACACATGTCGTTATTGTAACTGACTCACAGAGCATGCTGAGAAAGGTCCGTGCTGAGTGGCAAGCATCACTTCAAAGGTCCCGGTTGTTAGCAATTTTTGGATATTTTCTCCAAGTGATGCCGGTGTGTTAGGAAATGAGCAGGCGGATAGACTGGCCGGTTCTGCACCACTTCGTGGTGAACTGATATATGACAAGCTGGATGTTGTTAGGGCCCTTTGGGTGCGAGTGAACTGTGCCGAGGAACAAATAGATCATTACGGTCTGAGGAGAATGGCACTGCGAGGAATTACAAGGAGATCTGGCCGGCGCTCGACACTAGGGGGAGGGGCGAGACGAATAAACAATCAGACTGTTACTGGTACCATCGGAATTTTAACTCTTTGCTTGCTGCTGAAGATGGGGACGGAGCGCTTATGAGAGTGTCCCGAATGCTGTGATGTCGATTCTTAATTCAACATTCAACATTTAGTCTAAATTACATATTACAAATCAATTAAAAATAATTATATATTACCAATCAAAGCAGTCAATTAAAAACAATTACATATTACCAATCAAAGCAGTCAATTAAAAATAATTATATATTACACATCACAGCAGTCAAGTAAAAATGATTACATATTACAAATCTAAGCATCCAATTTAAAAAAATAGTCATGTCAACATCATCATCCTGTGTGTGCAGGTTGACGTCACATAGGGCTCGCATTCGATTCCTCCACTGCGCTCTATTACATGCAACTCTCAGTTTCTGACATTGAGTTCAGCCCAGCATTTTTGACCTCTCATATTAATGTTCTTCTCAGTATGTGTATGTAAGTTGCAATGATCTGTGTGCCTACAGCGTGGATACCTAGAGCTGTGTTAACAGGCAGATACCTCATGGGGCCACGTCCGGGACTGCCCATGCTGTAGTTATATCATAGATTGAGTCAATCAGTCAGTCATCCACTGGCATAAATTGGCAGTCCTCCATCAGTGAGACCACCAATCATAGCAGGTTAGCAGCAGCATTGTCAAAGCAAATTATGAAAGAACATATAAACTTGATAGCTAGGATCTGCACTGATAGCAAGATGTTCTGTCGTCATAATCGCTGTGCATAAATACTTTGTGTATGGAATGGCTGTTTCAGAAACTGAGTGTCTGTTCCGGAAACTGAGGTATGTTGTCCCCCCTCATTCAGACACTTAATTA